TGGAGTGATAAATAGAGGACATCTGTTGCAGCATATGGCTTGACAGCTGCATTGAACTTTCTCAGCAAGTACTAAAACCTTTTGAAAAATTCAGTTTGGCTTATAATTTTTATCCTCTCCATCCTCACCCCCAAAAGATGGACTTCTAAAACACTTGGAGTTTAAAATCACATTGGAATTTGAAATGTTTCACATTTTCAGCATGCAACACTTAAAATTTAATTTAAAAATATTTCTGTTTGGAAACCAACCTGAACATTTCACTTTTTGTTTACAAAATGAAAATCCAAGGGTATGCTTGAACATGTTATTTTTGACATGAAACTACTTGTTTCACTGAGACCAAACTAAATTTGTTTCTGATTTATTGGTTCCAAAAAAAAAAAAAAATCTTATTTGCCATGCTGTCCTTAAGTAACGTAAGAATTTTAGGTTTGGTTACTAAGTAAGAATTGGATTTCTCTGAGAGGGCTTATACTGAGCCTTCCATTTTATGTTTTCCATTTTGCTTTATAGAGGCCTGTCTTGCTCAATGGGAGTTTAGCTAGTGAAAGTTGTGACTCTGTATTCAAATCTGGTACTTTTAGGTGTTGTGAAAATTCTTCAGTAAAATGCATGTGTAAATAAGAAGAAGCAGAAGAGCCTTCATGTGCCTGTGTGCCTCCATGCTGTGTTTCCTGTGCAAGGTGCTTTCTCGTTAGGTACTGCACTAGTTAAGTGGGAATGACATTGCCATTAGCAATGGGTTAGGGTGCAAACTGATTTGAAAATGGTTGGTTTATTTTCTCTTGTGTTTCTGTCGTGTAGAAATAATTGCTTTTGGTTCCACTTCTATGGCAGTGATATGGAAATGATTAGTTAGGAAAACCAGAGAAATAGGAAGACGCTGATGTCTCTCCACAGTGACTTATTTCAGCTCTTCTGCTAATTCCTTTACAGTCTAACAGTAAATCTAATAACATATAAGCATACATCTCTGACAGTTCTTCCCCAACATGGTTGTACATTATGTTGAGATCACCCAAATTCTGCCCAAGGAGAAGAATAAGGACTTTTCCAATTAATGCAATAGCAGTTGGACAGAATTTGTTCTGGAAATTATATGCAAGCAATATTATATCCGGTGCCTCCTTTTTGGTTTTGATTTTTGTTTGTTTGCTTTGCTATTCTGTAGCCAAGAGCAAACTGTGTCCATTTATAGTTTTTAAAAAACACCTTTATGTTCTGTCTGTGGCAATTTTTCCTTCATGGGGCCTGGATGGCTGCAATGGGGAAAGAATTAAACTGACTTTTAACTGCTACACATTTGTTCTCAGTTTGCACTTGTCATGGGTTACCTCTGCCCACCAGGTAGATATATATAAATTCATCTCTGTGCATGTAAATAGGTCAGTTGTATAAAGGCATACATAGGTAGTTGTTCAGTAGTCACCACCTAAAACATGTTTTCAGGAGAATTAGTGCAACTTCCTCCTCTGTCATGCCAATTTTAAAAGTTTTGTTTGCTTGTTCTTTAAGTGTGCTGGTCAGGAGCCCGCCTAGGAGCTCTGAGTTGTTCAGCTCCCAGAATCCATTATAAAGGGTCTGAAATTAGCATTAAAAAAAACCACTTTTTTGTTTTTCCTGGTAATGTCTTTTACTGAGATCAACTCCTTGTCTTGACAGCTGAACTAGCTGCAAAGTGCTCGTACACTTAATGTTAAGGAATGCTGCCATGGTAGGTGTTTGCACCCAAGTTTAAGCACCTAAGTTTAGTTTTCCTCAAGTTGTCAGTAGTTCCTGTAAACAGCTTTGTAAACAGCAGTTGAATTGAAGCAGATGTGCAGTTCTCCACAGGAGAGATGATTTGTTTCTGTGTCTGCCCTGAACTCAGCAGAACTGCTGCTGAACATCAAGGCCCTGCTGCTGCAGAGCTGATCCACCTCCGTAGAGCAACACTGCAATGCCAGGGGGTCCGTCTGTCAGGACTAGAGTAAGACCCAGCAAATGACTTTTCTAACACTAGGAAGGGGTTCTAACATTTCATAGTTTGGGTTAGAAGATGCTTTTCTTAAGCACTCCAGCAAAAGTTAGCTCGTAGCTGGCTTTTGTGCAGCCACGTATTGTTACGTGCATGAATGTTGTGTGCATTTAGCTTTCAGATTTCTATTTTAGTTGTCACAGGTGTGAGAGAGAGTGCCTGTAGTATGGGTGGGCTTTCAGCATGCTGGTAAAGCTGCCCAAGTTATGGTCACTCTTAGGGAGATGTGGGATCTCCTGCCCTGTCAGTTTATCCTCTGTATCAGACTGTGGATGAAGGGATAAGTTGGAAGACTCTTCAAATTTCATTTTTTAACAAAGAGTGCTAAGTAAGAAAAGTTTCAGTCAAATTTTAAGGCTGATTTAAACATGCCAAATTGAGGACAATATTTGTTTCCTTGCATTCCTTCTACCCCCTACCTTACTAAGTGCACATCTTCTACAGCACAGGCAAACATAAAATGTCCCATAGCAGTGTGGCAGGGACGGCGCTTTTGGGAAAAGATGACTTTCCTAGTTTCTTGGGCTCCATTTATATTTGTAATCAAAGTTGTTGTAAGGGGGTTGTTTATGTGTATAAAAGTCATAACATGAGACAGCCCTGGATATGGATGGAATAATCATTTAGACTTCCCTCGTTCTGCACGTGGGCTCTCGCAGGGGTGATATGCTTTGCATGGATACTATCCATGTTTTCTTAACTTGCAATGGACTAAGGGTGGCACCTGGCTTATGAGGTCTGTAATTCTGTCTATACCTAAGGTCCCAAGTTACACGGGGAAATAGGAGTATTAATTCAAAAAAGGGTTAACACATGCATTGAAGAGTTGAATGAGAATGTGTTTGAGCCTTAGCCTGACTCAAAGCCACCAGGTTTTGGGCTCCCTTAAATTGAGAGTCTTAATTTTGAACTTGCTCCTTTCTGTTAAATTGTGCCATACCTTTTGCAGTAGCAGAAGTTAGTCTGGCTTATGCAGAAAGGCATGCTGTTACTGAGCAGAGTAACCTGTGTCTGCTTAGCAGCAGTAACATCCCATCAGCCTGGACTGTGCTTTTAAATGGGTGGCTCCTTCTCTCAGTCTTCTGGATTATAATTAAGAGGAGGATAAACCAAAGCTTTTCCTGACACTTTTCTTTCCCATCTTCCAGTGGCAACAAGTAACTAATGTTTTAAATTACTCTGAGATCTAGGCAAAGCTTTCCTGATGAATGCCCTCTGTACAGTTAAAAGATCTTGGGGGAGCCCCAGTGCTTAGAAGTGTATTTGCATTGCACCAGAGTACTTACTTCTGCAAAGGAGGCCAGCAAAGCAGAACTTCCTGCCAAGGGAGTACATGTGCTCTTGTTCTCGTCATGACACTAAGGGTTATACGGCTTTGATAACTGCAGATAAAGTTACTCTTTAGTGCATAGCTAAAAACCAAATCAGAATAGGCCAGTCTTTATCCCTTCCCCAAGGGAGAACATACACACACACAGAACTTGCCACTCATGATAGTAATTGGGTTTTAAACTTTTTAGTCATTTGTTATGAGTTGCAGGATGGCCTTGAAAAGATCATCTGTAAGCTTTTTCATAAGTTATAACCAGTTTTAAAAGTTGGTTGTCCTTAAATACAAAAAGCTTTCTAAGAAAAAGATGATTTATCTGTACTGTGTTAAACCTAGTGGATGTGGATGTGTGGCCTCTAATGAGCTATGAGCAGCTCTTTCAGAATATTTAACCTACATATAAGATAATGGAAACGTGACTTATATGGTAAGACAGAGAGTCTTCAGACAGGTAAGTATTTTTAAAGGGAAAGCAAAAAACATGGGTTGACTCCTGTCCTTCAAAACAACATGTTGAAGAAACAAGTAGGGTTCCTCTTGCTGCTCATATCTATAAATGAATGAGCCTCTGCTTGGAGGGTCTTTAGCCGTTACCTTCTCACCAGCACTCCCTTGGGTTTTTAACACTCATGATCACATTTGCAACCTCTTATAAGATGCTGGTCGTATTTCTTATTGTTGGATCAAGATAATATTTTCAGAGGCTGCTGAGGGCTCACAGTGCCAGGGGACACAGGGCACAGCTGCTGCCTCGGGCTTCCAGCCCCAGCAGGGTCTCCTCATGGGCCCTAAAATTAAACCCAATTTGCAGGGTTTCCAGGTAGAGGAGGAGGTGAGAAGACAGGGTCTCTTTTATGCCCGGAGATTTCTGGCTTCCTTTCTGTATGGCCCATCTTTAAGAGCCCTGTCCTCAGAAGACTTTACTTCTGAGAGATGAAAAATGCTTTTCATTTTCTTTTTCACATTATGAATTTTGGAAAAGCTTTTTTTTTAATTCCAATAAATTGTCTTATGAATTGCACGGTGAACCTTGTTGGTTCTGTACCAAAACAGTAGTGTTCTTTAACTGCCAGCAGAAAAATATTTACCAAATAAGAAATGACTTGTTGGAGGCCAGACCTGTACTAGACTGGTGGGTGATGTGAGTTGTGTGGGAGCCTTTTTGCTTGTGAGGCTCGTTAGCCCAGACAGTGGCTTGTGCTACAGTGGAGATCGTAGAAGAAGTTGGGGAGTTGTTTGGTCTGTGTGCAATTATCAACAGCGCTAGTCTCAACTTAAATCAGAGCCTGTTTTCCGGGATTGTTTTCTTACTAGTTTTACTTAAAAGGAAGAAAGTTAAAGCCAAAGCCTTCAAAAATACGTAATGTTCCTTCCTTCCGTTTGTGGTTCCCAGAGCGAGGTCAGGACCAGCTGCTCCCTTTGGAGACAGAGCTCAGCGGAATTTCCAGCGCTGCTGTGGCTGCTTGCACCACATCCAAGTGGCATTGAGCTTCATTCCCAATGTAGTCTCGTATGCAGGCAGGAACAGGCTCATTAACAACACTGTGAAGGGCTTTTTTTGATTGTTGGTTTGGTTTATGTTAAAAAAAAAAAAAGGTTACTCAAGCTTTTCTCCAAAAGTGTTAATTGCTGGTGAATTATCTCTCGTAGGAGTTCTCTGGAATCTCTCTTCCTGTGATGCACTGAAAATGCCAATCATCCAGGATGCCCTCGCAGTGTTGACCAATGCAGTGATCATCCCTCACTCGGGATGGGAAAACTCTCCGCTCCAGGATGATCACAAAATCCAGCTCCATTCCTCACAGGTGCTGCGCAATGCCACTGGGTGCCTACGGTGAGTGCGGCCACGCGCTTGCTTTGCCCTAAGGATCTTGCTTACGCTCGAGTTCTTATTCCTCATTCTGAGGCATCTGTGAAATAAATAATTTGCCTGTGTGACAGCAAATAAAGTGACTTCTGATGCTGTAGACTTAAAGTTGGAAATTAATTAGAAAACAAGCTCCAGGCCATTCAGAAACAATCTCTAGAAGCGCTGCTGTGGGTTTTCCACTTTTATTCCTGTTCTTAATGGCTTTGACCAATCCCCCCCATCAAAGCTCGCTTAGTACAGATGTTTTTCTTGTTATCTGTCAATATGTACTGACTATTACATCCAATTTAATCTGCACAAAACGTAACAAAGATGCTTACACAAAGTTACATTGTAATGCCTTGTGGGTTCCAGATGCCATTGGCAATGGTGTGATAAATAGATAAAGTGGATTTTTCATGCTCTGTGGAAGATGAAAAATAGAGTGCAATAAGGGACCAACCAATTTAAATCTGTGCTACTGGAATACCTAAAGAGATGTGTATGCAACTGGATGTATCTGTTGCTAAAGGAACTGGAGATACAGGAATGGTGACGGGATAAGCAAGGGACATTCCATCCCAGTTAGCTCCGTGCAGCTGCTGCTTGACAGGGACAGGGCCCATGGAGCGTTGAAGTTTCTTTTGCTTCGCCCCAGCAAGAACTTGTTTTCCTTTCTCCAGTTGCTGTTGAAATCTGTCTCTCTGGACAAAATGTGAAGTTTGAGGTTGTGCAAGGGAGAAAACTCTAAGTTGGTTGGTGCAGTGCTGATGGGAGTCTAGCATTGCCCTCCCCTGGGGTGACAGGGCTGTAGGCCAGAAGAACCTGGGAAGAGAGGATGAGGTAGGGAGGGCCCTCCACCGTGTAGTTAGTTCCTTACCATACTGTTTGGCTCCTTAAAGGTCTCTCCTCCACCAGCTTTTAACAACTTTCACACTTTGCACTGAGGACTCCATACAAGCCTCAAATTTCCACTTCTTGGGCTCATGGGATGGGGAAATAACGTGAGGCCAGAAGATGCAGCAGGTTTCCTGGCAGAGCCATTGCCCTGCGTATCAGAGAAACGGAGGGTGCCTTGCTGTCTGCTGTGGGAATATTTGTTTGAATATTTGGTGCTCTGCATTTTTTTTTCCCTTTTGTTTAAGTTGGTTGGAGAAGGGGCATTAATATTAGTTGCATCAGGGTTTTGGTTTTCTTTGGTGATGCTGAGTATCGCAGCGAGAGCGCCGCTCTGCAAAATCTCCAGCAAGTGTTTCTAAATCCCTCACGCTGCCAGACTTCAGAGATGTCAGGTGGTATTTCATAGGATTTAGTCCTAAAAATATGCTGGGCGGATTTTCTTTTTTTTTAATCTTCCGTGCTTTTATTTTTTCAGACGCATTCACTTTTGAAAGCTTCAAATAATGAGAGATGCTATAATACAATTCCTTCCACTATACAATTCTAGTAAATAGCTTACAATGGGAATTACATAAGACTAGTCCTTTTCTTCTTATTTTTTTTTCACGATCTTCTGTAATTATTATTACTTCCACCTGTATTTTCTCATTTTCGCTGAGAGTTCTTTGTCTTTTCTGTTAAAAAAATAACTTACAAATGGTAGTTTTTAGCTTCCTAAAAACTACCTTTTTTATTTATGATCATCCTTAAGCAAGTTGTTAATACATTTGAAAAAAATGCTAAATAGGCCCACTGCTCCACCCTCAGCCACACAGTAACCTGGTTCCTGCTGATGTGAAAGTGTATCAGAGAGCAGCAAGATGAGGCCTTTTCTTCCTATTATTTTCTTCAATTAACATCTATAGAAAGACGTTATTTACAAACTGCACTCTAACATCCTTTTGTGCTTTGAAAAGAAAAAGGAAAATAGGCTTAATAAAATATTATACTACTTCATTCCAGATAAATAGACATAAATATTTTTAAATTGTTAAGATAATTCAAAGTTCTAAGCACTGCATTGTACTTATAAATTTAATCTTAATGCTCATCTTTTATAAACATTGCCCAACCTCAACTATGATATTTATTGGAGTAATTATCCAGTTTACTTGCCTCCCCACTGAGGTGCCAGTATCTTGCCTCATTAAATTCTGTGGGAGCTTTTCTTTTTCTTTCCCGTTGGATTTCAGCTGAGATGGGTTTATTCTTGCTTGTGAATTACTTTATGGATTCTGGTTTATTTAGATGTGCTAAGGAAGGTCAAGTGAAAACTGAATTTATGTCCCAGTCATTAACATGCGTGTTTCTAATTCCTAATCTGAAATTTAAAAATTGGAGTGATAGTGCATAATGTTTTCATAAGTTGAAGTATCAAGATTACTTATCACAAAATGAGATCTCCTTCTGGAGACCGTCTGAAAAAAAAAGAACCTTCTAAGAGTTTTTGTCCTGATGTGTAGAATGGAAACTGGATATTTTGTTTTTCTATGATTTAAGATGAATTAAGAGAATTTCATTTGATTTTTTTTAAGAACTTACTGCTTTAGTATTCCAATCTGTTTTAAATTCAAAAAAAAAAAAAATGCTACCTATCGCTTCTTCTTCTATGTTCTATCTAATTTTTCATCATACACTGAAGTTACAGGGTTGATTTTTGAAAATCAGAGACATATTAAAGTACATATCTATTTTTTGTCCCTCAATACAGAAGTTGATGGTTACAAATTGTATGGGATAGTAACTCAAATAGTTTTTGTTTATAAAAGCCAATACTTTTAAAATTTTCACACTTTATATTTTCTTACTTATCAAACCTTTCACAAAATTCCAGGAATTACTTTGTTCATCTGCAAAAAAAGTGTAACAATCCCTCATCATAAAAAAGCAAAAGGAGAATATGTTTTTAAAACACAAAATAGACATAATTTCACATTTTCAACTAATTATTTGTCACAGTTTTGCTGCATGAAGACAAGGGAAAATGTGGGAGCATTATAAAATAAATACCACAGATTGTTACTTATCACCTGGTCTGTTTCTTAAGAAACAAATATATATAGAGAGAGAGTAAGAAAAGTATCCATATATATAAATATATATATATATAGGTTGATATTAAAGCTAAAATATATTTTCGTCTTTATTCATCAGTGTGAGCTCTGAATATCTTTAGGTGAGTAAAAATGAAGCTGGCTCCTTGCTGTAGGACCATCATGTTTGCTAATAATTGCTTTTTCTCCCATGAGCAGAACCTTAGCAGTGTTTCCATAAGTTTACGTTGTAGTGGGTATAGAAGTGTTGGGCTGAGCAACCAGCCTAAGCATCTCCCTTGCTTTTTGTGGAGCACAGAAGGTGGTTCTCAAGCTGACCTTGCATCAGATAAAAGACAGTCCGTGCCCAAGTGTCTGGAATGAAGACGTTTGTCGGAGTCCAGACGTACACAAAGCCGTGGGCCCTGTTGGGATGCGCCCACAAGTGCTGAGGGAGCTGGCGGGTGGCTTTGCAAGGGCAGTCCCAATCGCCTTAGAACGATTATGGTCATCAGGAGAGGGGCCTGAGAACTGCAAGAAACAAATGCCACTCCAGTTTTCACAAAGGACAAGAAGGAGGACCCAGGGAACTAGGAGCAAGTGTGACCTTGGCCCTTGGAAAGACAAAGGAGCAGCTGATCCTGTAAACCATTTGGAGACACGGCTTATCAGTGATCTGGATGTAGGGACAGAGTGAAATATTGGTGATGACACAAAACTGGGAGGAGTGACTGGTACACTAGAGGGCTGTGCTGCCAGGGGGCTGGACATGGAGAGGGACCTCATGGAGTTCAGCAAAGAGGAGTGCCAAGTGCTGCGCTGGAGAGGAATGCACCAGCACCCCTGGGGGCTGACCTGGTGGAAAGCTGCTCTGCAGGGAGTCCTGGTGGTCAACACGATGGCCACGAGCCAGCGGTGAGCCCTTGTAGCCAAGACGGCTACGCAAGGGGGTCTGTGGCAAAACTAGGTACTTGTGCAAAAAGCATTGTCCAAATCAACACCAAAGCTGACTCCTTCCTTCCTTCCTTCCTTCCTTCCTTCCTTCCTTCCTTCCTTCCTTCCTTCCTTCCTTCCTTCCTTCCTTCCTTCCTTCCTTCCTTCCTT